CAAATTCTCACAAATTAGCCTCAGAGTTCACTGAATTACTAAATGATACAATCAGCTAAATTGGCGAGATTAAGTAACTTGCCCAAGATCACAAAACCAGTAGTAGAAAAGATTCATAGACAAATACTGTTTATTTATTGATGGAATCTGTCAGGATTGCACTTACAAGGAGACACACTACCAAAATAATCCATGAATTCCAATAGTAAGCAACTTAAAAGGACGAAACGCAATGTATCTATGTTGCCTCAGGAACACTATGGTAGACCCATCCCTTTTGTCATAAAAGACCAAAACCAAAACTCTGAGAAGTAAATCTAGATATAGATATAGATATAGATATAGATATAGATATAGATATAGATATAGATATAGATATAGATATAGATATAGATATATGTGTGTGTGTGAATTTTCTCACAAATAGTCATAGCACCTAAAATATCTTGAATAACAAGATGTCTGAATTTTTCATCAGCAATCAAGAATTAAAGGGTGAACAATCTTTGCTATATTAAATTCAGTGGATAAACTTGGAAAATACTATTACAAGAAAAAATTTTAAATAAAAATTAATGAAATCACACCCAGACACTTTGCAGCTATGTATCAATAATATATATGTAGTTCTCTCACCTAAAATTTCATTCCCAATCCTGATCTCTGCTCCTTAACATGAGCCTGAGAAAAAGTATGTGTCCAAAACAACTGAAAATTTTATATTACTCTTCTTTATTTGAGGTAATTATTTGCTTTTTAAATTTTTTTTCTTTTCTTATTCTTTTCTATTTTCCTCCTTCTGTAGTTTTATCTGTACTTTTATGCCATTATACTTTATTCTTCTATAAGTATTTCTGTGCATGTGTGCTTTCATCTATTTTTGCCCTTTTTTTCCCCAATATGGTTTACAGAGGGTAAAGGAATTCGCCCCTGCTCATTTTTTTACCTTTGTATCTTCACCTGACCTCTTTCTCCTGTGTTGTATTCATTCTCAATTTTACTTTTTTTTCTCTTTGCCTTATCACTTGTCTTCTTAAAAATTTTTCTTTAATATTTATATCAATCATAGAATCTCCTCCCATCCCCATTCCCACTACCAACAGTTTTTCCTGTTATCTCTTTCTAAATATATAATAACATACTTTTAACATCAATAGGGCCTTACATACAAATAGACTATTTAACAAGTGGTGCTGGGAAAAATGGTTATCTATTTGCAGAAGAATGAAACTGGACCCTTATCTCACATCATATACTAAATTAAAATCAAAATGTATCAAAGATCTAAATATTAAAACAGAAACATTGAACCTTCTGGAAGATAAAATAGATAAAACACGTGAAGATACAGGTGTAGGAAATGATTTTCTAAACAGAACCTCAACAACACAAGAAATAGCAGCAAGAATCAACAAATGGGATATCAGGCTAAAAAGCTTCTATACAGTGGAAGAATCAATCAGTAGAGGGAAGGGACAACCTAGACAATGGGAAAAAATTTTTTGTCAGCTACTCCTCAGACAGAGGATTAAAATCTAGAACACATAAAAACTCGAAAACATTAAACCACCTAAAATTAAAAACCCGCTCAAGAAATGGGCGAGAAGGCCAGGGAGATAGCTCAGTAGAATAAGCGCTTACCCAGTAAGCGCAGAGTCTTGAGTTCAATCCTCTGTATTGACAAAAAAAAAAAAAGAAAGAGAGAGAGAGAGAGAGAGAGAAAGAAATGGGCAATAGAAATGAACAACACTAACACAAGAAATACAAAAGATTAACAAACATGAAAAAAAAATGTCCAACATCTATGACCATTAAAGTGATGCAAATTAAAATAATGACAGGATTTTGTCTTATTCTGGAAAGAATGGCAATCATTAAGAAATCAAACAATAACAAGTGCTAGTGTAGCTGTGGTGAAAAAGAACCTTGCATTGTTGGTAAAAATGTAAATTAGTACAACCATTACAGAAATCAGTATGGAGATTTCTCAAAGAACTAAAATTATAAATTTTATATGACCCAGCTATCTCACTGCTAGATATCTTCCCCATAGGGCTTAAGTCACTATACTTACAGTGACACATGCACACCAATGTTTATAGCAGCACAATTCATAATAGTTAAATCCTGTTACCTGCCTGTATAACCATCAATAGATGACTGGATAAAGAAAATGTAATCTCTGTATATAATGGAATACTACTCAGCTTTAAAGAATGATACATTTAAGACAATTATAGGAAAATGGATACACCTAGAAATAGAATGTTGAGTGAAATAGACCAGACACACAAGCTTAAGTACCATACAGTTAGTACCTCTCATTTGAATGAGGCAAAGTACAAAGAAAATGATAAAGATTGGCTAGAAAGAGAAAAAGGTACTCCCTCCTTTCAACAGAGAAGTGGTCCAAGTGAACAGAACAAGGGGCTAAAGAGGAGAGGAAGGAGATATAAAAAGAATAAAGATGTGCCATATATAGAAACCTAATAACCCCAATTAATGTAAATAACTATATGCCATAATATGAGCTAGGACAAATCATATCAATGGGTACGAAAAAGGAGCTGGAGAACTGGAGGAGGAGAGGAGGGGGGAATTTTAAAAAAGCTGTAGTAATAACAATAATAATAATGTAATCACTACCCAAGATGACTGTAAACTGAAAACACATACTAATAAAGAACTATTTTAGAGAATATGTCAGATTTTATATACCTTTGTTAAACATGGGCACCAATACACAAATCACAGTTCTAATACTGGCTCATTTTCAAACATTTCCCCAAGCATTTCAGGTCCCTATTTCAGGAACACAACAGACATTAAATGACAATCAGGTAGTAAACAATACCTGTAACTGGGCTAAGTGACAATGGACTGAAACCACTGAAATCAGAAGCCAAAATAAATCTTTTCTATTGTAAGTTGATTTCTCTCACCTATGTCTGTCACAGAAAAGGAAGGATTTTAAAGAAAATAAAATCACTTTCACCTTAAGGAACTGATATTCATCGTAAAGAACAGGTTAAACTTCTAAGGGTACAAACCACGTAAGTATGGGGGGTGGTCCATATGATTGGGGTCCCCAGGACTTTTTAATTCTTAAACTTGTCCACACCAAACCTCCAGTAATTCTTACAACTTAGGTTTTCCAACCTGGCACTGATTCCTAAGGAAGTTTCTACCCCAGAATTGCTGCTGCACTAAGTTGTTATTATCTGTATGTATCTTCCATTTTGAGAGCAACAGTCTGCCCTGTGACCGCACTTCTCTGATTAATTTTAGAAGTCTGATTTTTCAGCTTATTCAGTTTTTTATGTGTTATTATAGTGACAACTTCTAAGCTTCTTCCATGCTGGAGCAGAAACACACAAAAACCCTTTTTTTATTAGCACATCTTACTAATTCATAAGATAAATAACATTCATTAAAAAGAGCAAATTATAAATCTGAATTTGTCAACTACAGATATTACCTAAAAATATAATTATAGTGTTTATAATTATTGGATATATTTCATATCTTTTATGAAGCAGTCATACCTAGTCAATCAGATATTACTGGATCATTTAGATTCCACATTAGAAATTAAATATTCCCTGAATAAATACCTAAATATGAGTTTTCTTTTATTTTAATTGCATACAGGGTCTCACTATCCCTTATTTCTATAAGGGCTTTTTTAAAAACATGCAAGTACTACAATTCAATGGTTAACTATATATGTCAATTAACAGAAAAGGCCTGTTTCTTCACTCTTACAATAGCAGTATCATATCTTCTACACAAATTTAAGGCTTAGAATTTTCCTTCGGAAAGGAAAAACAGAATAGAAAGCTACATTTGCACATGAAATTTAATATCTAGATACCACTTTCAACATTTACTATCACTGTGTATCAACTTTTAATCAAATTAATTTACTTGGGAAATCTTAGGCCACTGTTTAGTGCTGTTTGCTCTATTTTTAGAAAAAAATACAGCTATTTTTCCCAAATCACACAGACATCTCTGAATCTTTTATACAATGAACAGATAAAGAACCATTATGAGACTAGAAGCTGTAGTATTACTAACATTTTGCTATTTAGTTAGTAGATAGCTACCAAATTGGACAAGGAAGTCTTCCTAGTAAGATAATGAGTTACTATAGGGAGCTATACAGAAAATTAGTTTGATAAAGTCACAAAAAGGGCAGCAAAAAGTAATAACAAGGGAAAGATGATATAAATCATCTAAAAACTTCATCTACAAAAAAGATGTTTAAATGAGAATGAAGACAAATGTTTGTGAAAGAAAAGACTACTATAAAAGTTTTTACCCTTAACTCACAAAATATAAAATATGTGAAACCTACATTTTCAGAACTCCAAAACTAAGTATCTGTATAGTTAGTACCTGAGTTTCTAGCGAAAGTAATAATCAAACAAATTCAGGGGCCAGAGAGATAGTTCAGTAGAATAAGCGCTTGCCTAGCAAACGCAGGGTCCTGAGTTTAATCCCCAGTGCCACCAAAAAAAAAAAAAAATTCAATTATATCAGTTTAAAGAACACATATCCGTGGTGGTTATATGTATAAAAATAAACCATTCAGATTGGCAATGGTCATGCAATAGATAAGACAGCCAAGCACAGAGAAAAGAGAACATAATCCTACTCTAAAAAGAAATGTCAATATGATTTTGAGAAAGTCCACTAAAAATAAATTGAAGAGCAGAAATAACACAATCTCAATAAACTCCACTGAGAAATAGTGATATTCCATCAATAAATAATAGCATTTTCAAGCTGAGGGGAAACTAGAGTAAATAAGGCTCCTGACTTTTAAAAAGAAAAAATTGAGTTTGGGATAGAGCTCAGAGGTAGAATTCTTTGTGGAGCATACACAACACCCTGAGTTAGAGCCCTAGCAACACACACACACACACACACACACACACACACAATTTCAATGCTAAACAAAGTTATTTCAACAGTAATGGTGAAAATCACCTTACCTTCCTTCCTCTAGAACAGCAATACAGTCAAAACCATTTGATATTTCCAGAGGAAGATATTATTGCTTGAATCTGGGTCACTAATATTATTAGCTGTTTGAAATGAGATCAAAGAAAAATGTTAATTATCTAGAAAAGCACATCTTCTTTGTCAATAACATGAAACATTTCACACAAAACCATTCAGATGAGATACATACCTTTAAGTTTGTCTATACAGGCAGAGTATCTTTAAAGCACACCCTACAGCCATAGTTAAAATTATTTAAATAACTATTGAACATTACACATGAATAGATTTAGCTTAAAAAATCAAATCTTCATAGTCATCCTCCATGTTAAACTTTCCCTTAAAAGAAGAACATGAAGACTCAGCTAACACAAAAATGGTTCCAAGCTTTAAAAGGTGTAGGAGAAAGGGGCAAATAATTTCAAGGACAAAAAAGCATGTCCCACTCCAGAACATGTTTACAGTTCCTCATCTAGAATTCAACTAACATCCAACTGCAGCAATCAGCCAGGCTTGACAAATTAAAATAACAGTAATTCTGACAGATTATCTTCTATAAATATTCAAAATATGGGTATTTATGTGCATGCAAGGTCTTCCACATGTCAATCAAAATGCTTTGTTTAGGATCTTTTAAAGTTGAACTGCTTTCTCACCCTTCTGTGGGAATCCCCTGAATCCTCAGTTTTAACTCTCATTCCAGGTGATTAAGAGATAAATTATCTATGGGTAGTCTGAATTAAATTTTAAGAGCACTCAAATAAGCATCAACTGCCTTAAAAAAAAAAGGTACCTAGAAACTTTGGAAACCTATGTAAAGACAAGAGAAGAGACCCAGGAAGGAGCAAGGGGCATGAGGCTCTTGAGGGATGGGTAATGTAAAATTTAGATGCAAAGACCAATTAACAACTTAATAAATTTGAGTTCTACTCAAAGTTCCATTAAGAAAAACTACATTTATTTGGCTTAAGGCAAAACCTTGTTTTGATGACTAATTTACGTAAAGCTGTTAAAACCAGGGAAATATAATCAGCATGAAATTCAAAACTAACTACACTTTTTGAAATCCACAGATAATCCTATCATAAAGAACTATTGATCATTAAGAGCAATAATGACTTTAATGAAGACAAGTTGTCTGATGCATTAAGTTGCTAATTATTTTAGCTTATTCCCATTTAATTTCCCTTAAATGTGTACAAAATAACTGAAAAGCCTCAGACATTCTAGGAAAACTACAATTAATAGGTATGTCTTTGGATCCAGGACAGCATTTAACTGTGAAAACAAAGTCAGTCTATTCAGAGGTGTATGCCCCTTTATTAAACCACAGCTCACAGTATTTCCAGATAGGCAAACTTACAACAAACTCTTACTATAAGATTGCTCTGTACTCAACCATCATAACCCAGATACAATCAATAGCAGATTCAAGCCAAACCTGTGGTTCTCAAATCTGGAAACATGGTCCAGGAGAAAACCCAGTGCATAACCATGTGTTTGCTTGGCAAGCACATGGTCCTGAGTTCAATCCCTGATACCAC